TTCATTTATAAATATTATTGAAGAAAAGATTTAATTTTAAAAGACGGACTCTGATACAGAGCTCAGACACAGAGCTCGGGTACAGAGCTTTAGACAATACAAAATAACTATTTTCAAGATACAGAGCTTCTGTATAGTACATACAGAGCTTCTGATTTATAAAATTCCAAAAACATTTTAAAGTCTTCCATATGACCAGAGATTCTCTGGTCCTTCTAAAAGACAAACCAGAGCCTCTCTGCATCATTCCCATACTTGTTCAAACTTGATAGAAATCATTTAGAAATCATAGGCAATTGATGCTTCTAATTATAAATTGTTTTCTCCTTCTCAATAACATCAAAGTTATTATTTCTAAAGAGAACAATACCTCCAAATCATCAAGTCATAAATAAATGCTTATTTAGAATTATTATATATGATAGTGATAATAACAAGAGTTATAATATTAATCATACCTGCAATTGCCACCCATATATCCATAGGTACACCTCTCCTTGATATACCACCATTATTTCTTCTTCAAAACAGGGTTTCTTACCAGAACAGACTTATGTCACCACGTCTGAAAGTACCCAATACCCAATTTCAAGCCAGAACAGACATATGTCACCACGTCTGGGGGAACTATTTCTTAAAACAAAGTTTCATACCAGAACAGACTTACGTCACCATGTCTGGAAGAAACATTTCTCAAAATATAGTTTCATACCAGAACAGACTTACGTCATCATGTCTAGAAGAAACATTTAATATCTTTTCCAATAAATTTAAGATACCCTTCTTTTACAATATAACAGTTTAAAAACTGATTAAACATAAGTTGTGAAATCCCATTATTGAATAATCAAAGTTTAGTTAAATCTCATTCACCAATCAATTTCTGTACGGATAAATTTGTCCGGACAAGCTTATCCGGACAACACATGTCCTGACAACCTTAGTCGGACACCCCTATCCAGACAACACATAATAAATATTCTTGGGCTATGAACAACTATCCGGAAAACACTCAACCGGATACACCCTTATCGGACATCAAGTGTCTGGATACAACTCTCACCGGTCAACATGATGTCCGGACATACCCTTATCGGACAACAAGTGTCTGGACACAAGCTTTCACCGATTAATCATAAGTTACTCTAATCCGGAAAATTTTGTGTTTGGTAAAGAGACCTTATCGGTCAATGGAGATCAAATAGAATATATACAACATTTTCAATACATCATCATTTGAAAGATATAAAACCAGTAACCAAAGCCGGATTCAAAGGCTATTTTTAAACCAAACTCACCTTTTGTAAACTCAGAATTTGAAGATGAAAATAGAAAATTTGAAGATGAAAATAGAAAATACGAATCGGTCTTTGATTCCTACTTCAGACTCCAAATATTGCAAACAAAACCCACATAAATCTTTCACTCTTGATTTCTAAAAGACCTTTTTCTTCCTAAAAATGCCCTTTTAAACCTTCCTTAAAGAAGACGGCTGAAGGATTTCATACCATCCCTTCATACATAATCTTTACACATGCATAGACATGCATGCACATAATTTATGAAGTAAATCCATGTACACACACAACACATGCATGTACCTAAAACATGCATACATTTCCATGCATCAAGAATATACACATACTCATATAATTATTTTATGTAAGTATGTATCCAAATGATTAATTATAACAGTTAATCAATTATTCACATAACCACATAATTCAGGTAGCACATATCAATTACCTCAGGTAACAACCAAGACCTAGTTATCACAACACCCGTTAATAAGGGTGCTAAATGCATTGGAATTTAAAACATGATTAAAACATATGAAATGTCAAAATCAATCAATCAAGTAATATAATTTATTTTATTATTATTATTATTTATATTAATATACACATCCTATATATATAATCTCTTATTTATTATTTTAAGTTTTATATATATATATATATATATATAAAATCCTTTATATATATTATTATTTTAAGTTATATCATATAACTATTTTATACATACATTTTTGTAATTATAATATATATATATAGGGTTGGGTTCACGTGAGACCAGCTTGTTTTCGTGAGACCCGTGAGACCACATTTTTACACGTAACCTTCACAGCAAAAACACTGTGAAGGTTTAAAAAAAGTCGAACCTTCACAGCAAAAACACTGTGAAGGTTTTTAAAAAGTCACCTTCACAGCATTTTGCTGTGAAGTTTCAAGTGTAAAA